GAACGGGGTCCATCTCGCATTAGGCCTTCTTTTGTTGAGTGTCTGAGGTGTAGTTCACATATAGGTGAGGTGCGAGGCTCATCTCATTGTCCTTTCTGGGAGCTATTTTTCTTTTATTTTAGTCCGAATTACTTTGCTTTGTGTTTCAATCCATCATATGGGTTTTTCCTTTCTATTTTTGGCCTGAAATCAACCTAATCATATACATTATCTCATTACAACATATCATCAATAAATACAAAATTATTCACAAGATTATACTCAAAATTAAGCTTAAAATAAGGGTAAATATGATGTTTGAATGCGTAAGTACACCCAAATTTAATACCCCACACTTAGATCTTTTTGTAACACCCAAAAAATCTAAGCTCATACTAGAACTATTCTTCATAAGTGTAAGGGTTTGTACCGAATGATTCTGAATTGTGCATAGGTTCTAAATTTTATTCTTTAGTGTTGGAAAATATTTGGAGATAGAATTAAGGTCATAAAAATCATCGAACACAAAGTTGAGTTGAACGTTTCCTTATTGATTGAGTTTCCATATAAGATTTTACTTGGATCAACTTCGAATGATCATATCTAATAGAATATGAAGAGTTAGGTGACCCATAACCTATCAAATTAAAGGTCTATGAATCTTTTATCCAACTCCACCAAGTTTTCATCATCCTGAGTTCGGAGTAGAGAGTTATGATTATTTTACTAAATGACGCAGTGCAGTTCCATTTTGACCGACTTGAAAATTTTTAAAAAAAGTATTTTTCTTGTCCTTATACAACTAGGAAAACTTAAAACAATTTTCTCAACTTATATCAAGTCCTAAAATAAAATAATCATACTTCCAACTTCCATATTTTAATTCCTCCTTCTCCTCTCTCAAATCCCAAGATAAAACTCTAAAGAAATATCAAAGCATAAGACTTCTAAACAAGGGTCTTTCGATTATATTTCAAGATTCTTCTTCAAGCAATGTTCTTTCAAATATCTTTCAAGATTATTCTTCAAGGTAAGTCCCATCTACAAGATTTCAGTCTTTCCAATTCAAATTCCTTCTTATAGTCATGAATCATTAATAGAATTCTTAACCTTGGCCATAGGATTTTCAAGAAACTAATTCAAGAATCTCAAGAAAGGATTTCTTGATCATTCTTCTTCAAGATATAAGGAGCGTTTAAGGTATGTAAGATTATAAAATTAAGGAACTTTGTTCCTCCTCACACCTTACTCCTACGACATACTCCCTCTGTCCCAATTTATGTGACTTACTTTTCTTTATAGTCAGTCCCAAAAAGAATGACACATTTCTATATTAAGTAACAATTTAACTATAAAATGTCTATTTTACCCTTAATGAAATGATTTACATCCACACAAATTTCTATCATTCATTTTGGACCACAAGTTTTAAAAGTCTTCCCTTCTGTCACGCCCCGAACCTACACCCTGAGCGAGACTGGCACTCGAGAACCATTCCTGGCCCCAAGCGAACCCTTGGCCTGGCTTACTTACTCAGCGGAAGACTTAAACACAAGAAATAGTCTAAAATAAGGAAATTATGAAATAAACTTAGAAGGTCTTAAAAGAAATATTCAAACTAGCCAAGATGGCTACTCAAGTCTCAAAACATAAGCCAATAATAAAGTAGTGACAAAGGAACTAACTAACTGACTATCTATGAAGCCTCTAATAACTGAGATGGATGTCGGGACAAGACTCATGACATCCTAATGAACTAACTACTGAAAGAAATAAAAGGGGATCCTCCGGATGGGGGTTGGGAGTTGTCTGAACTCTCCCCCATATCGGTGCTCAATACTACTCCCAAAATATAATACTAGCTCTTATGTTTAAAAAATATATTTCTTTCTGTGGTTTGAGATAATTGCTCAAAACTTAGCTCAAAGGCTCTCTTGGAAATCAAAAGTTTCCTCTCTTGCTTAATTGTGAAAACATTTACTCTTTACTGAAAATTAGCTCAAAGACTCCTTTGGAAATTTCAGTTTCCTTTCTCATTTAAATGTGAAAATATTTTAAACTCTTTGGGAATACATAGTCCCCATATACTCTTTGAATAAATGAAATTCAATCTTTACTCTTTACTCAACTCAAAACTCAAGTCTTAAAAACAAGTTAAAACATTTGTAAAAGACTTTTGGAAAACTCTTATGAACTTCTCATGACTTGACTCTTAACTTTCCTTGAATTGAATTATGGATTCAAGGTTTATGATCTCATATTATTGATGATTTCATGTTGTTTAGACGTACCTTAGAGTGTAGGAATCAACTAGGAAACATAGGTACATTTCAAGGGAACTAATACGGAAAGAAGTGGGAAGAAGTAGAAGACCTGGTGTCCTTGGCGCTCTGAGTGGTGCGGGGCGCAAGAGGCTGAACTTCAGAACTGAAGTTGGGGCGCTCTGGCTGGCGCGGCACCCCAGGAGCAAAACTTCAGAACATCTTCTGGGGCGCTCTGAGTGGCGCGGCTCCCCATCCCCCTTCCCAGGCGTTTGACGTTTTTTCTTGCTCGTTTTTCAATTCTAAACCCTCTAAACTTATTGGGTTTTTCCCCAAACACTTAGATTCGAGTACAAAATTAAAATATGCAAGAATCTACTCAAAACGTCACCTAATTTCATGAATTTGAATCAACAATTCCTCAATAATTTCAACGAATCAAGAACTCAATAGAACTTCAACAAAACCCATTAAGAACAAAATTTCTAATCCTTCAAGAACATAAATTCGCTGAAATAAATCATGATTGACACTTGGGTGAACTAACCCAACGCTATATGATCTCACATACCTCGTAGGGATCACCCCTTGACGAAATCCACAATTTCTTCAAGACTTGGCGATTTCCTTGCTTCTCCTTCTCTTTTCTCCTCTTCGTTTCTCTTCTCTTAAACCCTAACTTGTTTTTCAAAAGAGTTAACTGAATCCAATCAGTTTAGACCCCAACTTAATTACCTAAAACGAAATTAAATAATTGAGTGGTGAAAAGACCATAATGCCCTTCTAAAATCCGTTTTTTTTACTTTCCTTAGCTAGACAGCCCAACTTCAAATAGGCATATCTCACTCATAAAAACTTGAAACTGAGCAAACTCGACGGCGTTGGAAAGATAATTCAAAGATATTTCCTACGGTATCTTGTATCACACCTAAATTATCCTGAGATAGGATTTATGGTCATTTGAAGTTGACCCAAAACTCATACTTATTTTAGAAGTATTTCAAGAAAGTATTTCAAGAAAGTATTATTATCTTTAATTTGAAATAAATTATTTTAGAAGAGTTTCAAGAAAGTATATTTTACTTCAACTGCATTATTTTCAAAAGTATTTCAAGAAAGTATTATTATCTTTAATTTCAAGTGCATTATTTTATGAAAGAGTTCAAGAAAACTATATTTAGCTTCAAGTTCAATGATTCTATCAAGATTTTCTTTCAAGTTTCATCAATGGGTCTCCCTTCACCATAGTCCGAAAAAATACTTAATACTCCAATTTGATCTTCACCCAATTTTTTGGGTGCTATGCAAATCTTCATGGGTTCAATTTATTATGATTCAATTGCTTAAATTCAATCTTATTATGCATGATTTGATTTAATTACATGTTTTCCAATTGATTTCATATGAACCCCCATGTCTATATCTATTTTATGAATACAAACTATGATTATGAACTTGTGAATTATGATTATGGATTTATGCATGTTTTATGAAACTGGTGTTTTATGACTAAATGATGCTTTTAATATAAAGTGTTAATGATTTGTGAAAGGTTTTCTCACATTTGAAAGAAATCATGATTTAGATGCTTAAAAAGGAAGTGTCTTATGAACAAGTTTATGAAATCATGGTTTTGAAAGAAGCTACTCTAATATGAATTTATGATTGGATTGGTAGTCTTAATTGTTGCCTTTTCAAGTATTTTGATATGATTATGATTATGTCTTTTCCATTGAGATTTACTTAGCACCGAGAGGGCTTTGAGATGGAGGCTCTCCCGTTAGTAGAGGATGAGTCTCTAGAAGCAATTTCCTTGTCCCATACTACGTGCCTCTGTAGGATTGTCTTAAATGACCTAACTAGTGGATCTACTTTAGCAATAATGAATGATACATGGTTTTACTTTGGCAAGTAAATTCTCTCTTTTTGGTGTGAGGGTTACACTGTATTCCATGTTATAGCTCACATGGTCTTCTTGTCAATAGGATAATATTTTTCGAGATATTTATTAGATTGCTTGCATTTATTTTTTACAATTAGTGTTATCAATTTTTATTTTTATGATTGTAATTATTTTTAAAATTGTAAGTATGATCGATGATGGGAGGAAACTGTAAATCCCTTAATATGGTTAAAATCATGTAACCTCACACTAGGGGGGTGTACATGACCGGGT